ACACGGAAGAAAGAGCTATCAATTTTGAGTAGCTTCACGCGTTTCTACGGTCGGCAAGTTTGGGGGGATGGTTGGACGGCGGGTGCTTTTGTAAAAGATTTTGGATGGGTGGCAGGGGTTTTTAATTTTGTAAAAATGGTACGCTTTCTAAATCGCGCTCCCGGGCGGTTAGCTCGATGCACTAAAGCTAGAGCGGTATGCGCAGCAATGGGAGAAGATGGGCGGGAAAACCTCTCCGACCTAAGCCTAGGCCTGAGGTTAAGACTAAACCAAGCCTATGCCTAATAAGCCTAGCCGAAGCCAAAATCTAAGCCGATGTCTAAGTCTAAGCCTAAGCCGAAGCGGAAGTCAAAGCCTAAACCGAATCCTAAACCGAAGCCTAACGAGCTGTAAGGCACACGCTAGCTCTGACCTTTCACGGCAGTAGCCTTATCAACATTTCCCGGAAAAATTGTTGCGTTCCAGCAGGCCGCGAGGAACGCACACGCACACCCCCCGATCACCCCATAAGCCTATTTATTTGCATAAAGGTGGGCCAGACGAGTCGCAGTCTGGCCTCGGCGGTCGCCCTTTTGATAACCTGAAATGTTGCCGAACGGTTTGGTCTGGTTGCAGGGGGAGATCACACTGTGGTAAACAAATTAGATCTGCAAATTTTAAAGGGCCATCGAAGGCAAATTCACCCCAAAACTGTATTTCTAAAATTCAGGGAAGCACTTTTATCCCCCTCACTAATTGCCAGCAGACCGCCACAAATCCCATTTTATACGTTTTGGCGTCTACCGCTTTTTGGCGACTACCTCCCCGATCTGGTTTTATGGCGGTTGTCTAGCCGAGCGCTTCGCAACATTCAGAAGGGGACCCCGACGGGCGGAAGCCGTTATCTAATCGCTGAGAGCCCCGGAGGGAGAGGAGAAGCGGGAGGGGGCCACGGTGATCCCTTGGCGGAATGAGGCGGGCTACTGAATGCTCCACGGTACATATCGCGTCACACACCGGGGAAGGGGACGTGGGAAAGTGAGGTCAACACTATCTGATGGATTTGGAGTTGGGAGGGGTTGGGGAAAATTGTGGGTTATACAGGGTGTTTCAAAGAAAAGACCCATCTGGGATTTCGTTGCTTTACATGCACTCGGTCCAAAAATTGGACAACAGTTGTATCAGACCCTAAATAACAACAATCCTGACTTAGAGCCCCATCGCTACAGTAGTTGCCGAGTTATGACAAAAATGCTGGGTTTCCGGAATTCTAAACAGGCTTTTCGGCTATCTTTTTGGGCCTTGTAACGATTTGCACCGATATCCGGATTTGAATCCCTAATTTCGCTTACAATTTGCGGTAATTTTGCGTTGTAAAATTGTTTAAATCGACGTTTATTTTATTTATTTTAGACAGAAAAAATCTTGAAGTAAATAACGCTTGCCAAATCATCCAGACAACCATTAATGCTCTTTTCCCACGTAAAACCCTCCTAGACGCCGTTGACAAATCGTATTCTAAAGGGCGCCCTGATTCCCGCCATCCATCATCACCAAAAATATTCGCCGGGGGAGCGCTTTCAGAAGGTGTAGGGGGGATGAGTCAGGGAGGATGAGGTGGCTGCCGATTGGGGCAGCTTCGGGTCCGCTGTCCCCCGCCATCGTCAGCCAACGGCATACATTAGCCATTTGGGAGGAGAGTGTCTCTGTTGTCATGTATTGAAAGGTGGTGATGGTGAAAGAGTGTCTAGATGCGGAATGGCGCGTAGTTTAGTAAGCTAGCGATCATTTATCTGGCCATTAAAATATAGAGCCTATTCTGAAAAGGCAGGATACCAAAATTAATTTCATAGACACTGCATTTGCAGAGGGAAAGACGCTAATCCCAAGCCTAGCCTGAGTCTAAGCCTAAACCTAAGCCCAAGCCTAAGCCTCAGCCTAAACCTAAGCCTAAGCCAAGCGTAAGCCAAGCCTAAGCCCAAGCCAAGCCTAAGCCTAAGTAAGCTACCAATTTACCGTCATACGATATAGCTCTGTTTTTCACGTGTACGGTACTGTCCAGTGAGTTCATGTAAGGTATCGGGTGCATGCATGGGTGTATGTATTGGGCAAGAGACAAGTCTGGCACCACTCGATCACTACCCCCCTCCCCCAAGATTCGATCGGCCAGCTCTCGAGGTCACGGCGGAGGCGACGGCAAAATCGAAATCGGCCCCTGGTGTGGGGGGGTTGAGCTCGAAAGAAAAACTGAGAAATCGGGAGTGGGGATCATGACGTGCTCTAACACCTCGGGGATATTAGTTTGAGTAATTTGGGGGTGGGGAGGGTATTTAGGTGATCCTGTCTCTTTAGAATTCTTCGTCCCAAAAAAACACCATCCCGACAGGTGTACTGCCAAAATAATTTGTAGACCAAAACGGTTAAATGGACCACCGAATAGTCTCTCTCACTCTCTCTCACTCCCTCTCTCGCCCTCGCTCTTTCTCTATCTATCTCTCTCCTCTCTCGCTTGCTCTCTCTTGCCTTCTCTCTCACTCTCTTTCTCACTCTCTCGCTCTCTGTCTTTCTCTCTCGCTCTCACTCTCTCGCTCTCGGTCTGGCTCTCTCTCTATATCTCTCTCGCTCTCCACCTGTCTATTTTTCTCACCTAGCTCTCAAAAAATGTTTATCAAACCCCCAACTCCTCATTTTGAACCCCGGCTTCACCCGAAAGAGTCCAAAAGTGCACTGCTCACTGTACTTTCCCTTCAACAACCACCCCGTTAGGCCCCAGTCATGGCCCACCCGCCAGGGCCACTGTCAGACCCCATTATTTATGCCAGTGTGGTGGTAGAGTGGCTGGCTGCTGGTCGGTGGGTTCGGAGTCAGAAGGGGAGGCGAACGGGGCGAGGCTGTTTTTGTCCGAGCGGGCCGTTTTTCAGCCGTTCGCCGGGGGGTCAGGGCCCCGGCTGCTGCTCAAGTATTTGCACTTTACCAAGGCCCGGCGAGTCGCCCGGAAAAAAGCGCCCGTCCAAGGGGGGTAAGGTGGAAAAAGTTGAGACTCGATGGGTTATGGGGGGATTGATTAGGTTATCGGAGTGATTGGGTGGAAGTGAAACCTAATTTAGTGGACGGAACTGTTAGGACTAAACCATGTAATTTTATGATGGTTTTCGAATGATAGAAAATTACTAAAAAAACACATTTTAAACCTTTTGAAAAGACGAATTTGTGGCGTTCTTGTCATTTTCGCAAATTTTTGATGAAAAAGTCAAACATTTAGAAAGTTTGTATAGGTTTTTGTCAGCTTTTACGTTTTAAAAGCTATGTAAAACCCATAAAGAACCAAAAAGTGAGTTACCGTATCCAATTTGTATTTTGGAACAGAAATTCCTGTTAAACTGATCCCAATTTTATACCATACCCAAGTAAATTTTTAAAGCTACTTCCAGTCCTCTTTCAAACCCAAAATCTCACTTCAAACTCCTCACTTTCCACAGTACGTTTCTTTCCACATGGCACTCCACTTTTTTCGACGCGTCCTGCCCCCACCCCGGCCGACGCGCCCCGAATGTTGCGAACGTCAGCCCTCAGCTGTGTGCACGTCGCAAAAAAAAACCGCGAAAAAACGGACCCGCGCAAACGGTCCCTTGAGAAATCTGACTTCCCTCCCCAACCCCAACTTCCTAGAAATCACTTTACCAAGGGAAACACCCATAATTTGAATGGATCCCCGGATTACTGTAGCCTTAGCGAAGCCTTTCCAAGCCCCCGAGACCTTTCTAAAAGCTATCCCCCATATGCTTGTTGATTCAGCGACCAGCGCAACTTTTAGGCGGAGGGGCGCTGAAGGTGGTGGGAAATGATTTGCATCTTTTTGGGTGGAGAGGAGGATGGGATGGTCATCAACGATTCAGGATCATCCTCGGATTATAGCCGCCAACACCAGCGGATTTTGACTTGAAAAGTGTCTGGGTGCTAGTGCTGCTAAAACTTCACAGCTTCTCGTGATTTACAGCCACCGTATCCCGATTTACAGCCCGTCCCATCCCAAACAAAAAGAATTTACAACTTGCGAGTTGTTGTTCGAGTGCATCTATCTGTCTGCCTGCCAAGACGACCACCCTGTAAGGCCATAAATCGTGGAGGAGGACGAGGTCCAGAAGGAGCTGCAGGGGTTAGGGGATGAGAGTTAGGGACGGAATGTTGCCCGCCACGAAGAGTACGATCAGATACGTGCGTGGATCGGATGGGAGGCCAGCGCGCCCCATTCCGCGTTGCATTTTTATGGGCTTACGGCACCTACAGCGCACACCACGCGGAGTATGGAGCGGGGGATTGCAACTTTGGTTGGGATTTCGAGGGTTGGATGGTTAAGCTTAGGCTTCGGTTTATTCTTAGGCCTGGTTTAGGCTTAAGCTTAGGCTTGTGCTTAGAGTTTAGGCTTAGGATTGGGCTTAGACTCAGGTTAGGCTTTGTCTTAGCTCTAGGCTTAAGCTTGAATTTATGCTTAGGTCTCGGCTTATGCCTAGGCTTGGAGCTAGGCTTAGGCTTAGGTTAGGCTTAGTCCTTCGTCCTCAATCGGCGTCAAAGCTTTTCAAACACGCTAACGCCGGCGTTGCTTTCAAGTCACCCCCGTCGCCCGAATTCGCAACATAAGGTCACATCCAAAGAGCCCAAAAACTCCCAGGGGCCGTTCCTCCTTTCCTGAAAAAAAACTTTCCCAGCTGGAAGGCAGAATCCGGTGTCCAGAAGGGAAGGTGAGGAAAGTGCATGGGGCCGCTAAATGAGTCTTTGTCCCCCAAACAGTTGAAGGTGGTGAGCACCAGACGAGGACGATTCCTACCGGTCGTTTGGTGTATTGGAATGGAACGGAATCCCTAATTGACCATAAGGATCCGGGGGCCATCCGCCCGGATGGGGGGACCATTCAAACGGAATTTGTTTAACGGTCCTCGACACAAGGGACATTTTGAATTCGGGGTTGGGAAGGGACTACAGTACCCCTAGTGCACAAAGCCTTACTTATCAGGCGCGTTCCCATGCTGTTCTGTGTACACAAAAGTACTAGTCAAACCCGGAAAGCTCTCAATGGTGATAAGAATGGAGACGGTGACGTGATTGGGAGTGAAAATAGAAAGTAAAACTGTGGAAAAAATTCAGGGAAATAGAGAGTGAGGCTTTAAATTAAATTTAAATTTCAGAGGTTGCTGGCTGGCTGAAGTCGTTGCGTCTTCATAAGTATACGACGTTGTTCCAGGAGCTGACCTATGAGGAGATGCTCTCTCTTGGTAGGTTTAAAAAATCTATATAATACATTGCATTTGAGGCTTTTTAAGCTTTGAAAACACTACCGTAATCCCAGCCGTTACGGTAGCTCCTCCCGTTTCCAACAACTTTCCGCTCGGCCCTCCTTTTGCGGCGTCGGCTCTTTGTCTAGCGGCGGGGGCTGAGATCGGTCCCTTCCCCCCTCTTGCTCGCTCGAAGGAGATTTGTCGTTTGATCGGAGCCCGATCTAGGCATAGACAGACCAGCACGTTGCCACTTTCCCCCTCTCAACCTCAGCCTCCGTTTTGCGCGCGGCGTCCAAGAAAAGCCATAAAATCGGGGGGCATGGGGAGAGTAGGCGCGGACGTGTAGGTCGGGATGGTATTGGTAACTATTAGGAAGGGAATACTAGATGGAAGATGCACAAGAATTAAAGAGAGGACGTTACTTTTCAGATGATCTCCTCCTCGAAAGACGCCACGTCACCAAAGGAGCTCGAAAGAAGATTTTGCAAAGCATCGACAAGCTTCTTCAGCGCCCCTTCGTCCTCCGGCAAACTGCTGACGTATAAAAAAAATCACGTATCCTAACCTTAAATAACTAGATGCTCCGCCGCAACCCTGGAGAGAGATGCCTTAACTGCGCCATCGCTTGCCTCCGCTACACCCTCGGGACCCCGATTCGCCCGTATGGCCCAACCACTTCCAGCTCCCCGGATTCTGGATGGTCTGGCGTGTCCGATCAGAACCTCCCCGAGATGCTGTTCCGCCTGGTGTACATGGTGCAAACCCTGCTCTTCCGTTATGGGCTAAGCCCTCTGGAAGATGTGGAGGACGAGTACTTGTACATGTTGCTCCACGTCTACGATCGGATCCTGAGCAATGAGGTGGGAATTTTGTCTAAGATTTTTAGGAATTTTTAAGGCTTTCACCGCGGCGCAGAAGACGAAGGTGATGGAGTGGAAGCGGGAAGCGCGTGACTTTTTGGCACCTGGGGATATTAAGAGGACCCGCGTGAATACACCTCATTCTCCACGTTGTGAGGGATGTATGACTGCGGTAAGTAAGCTTAAGTTTAAGCCAAAGCCAATGCCTAATCCCAAGCCTATAACAATAGCTAAATCTTATTTTCAGGCTAAATCCCTGCCTCCACGCCCTATCCCTCTACAACGTTCCATCTATCAAACCGTCCTAAGTGTCCGCCAGGTCTCCAACCTCCCTAAAGAACTTCTGGAGGTATGAAATATACTTTAAAACATCCATTATCTATTTTTTTTCTAGCAACTCCTGACCGCTAACCTCTTCGCCCCGCACCAGCTGGCCATGTTCTGCCTCTTCCAACAGCAGATCATCCAACACCAACAGCAGCAACAGCAGCAACAACAGCAACAGCAGAAGCAGCAACAACAACAACAACAACAAACCCAGCCTGTCCAGCCAAAGTAAGCATTAATTAATATTAAATATACTCTAACTTTTTTCTAGGCCTGCCCCGCTCCAAAACCCCCTCTTCGCACCGAATCTGGGCTTCGAGATGGCGGCCGAGCCGACGCAGAGCTACTATCGACAGCCGAAGCCGGTTAGTGAGCTTCAAATTCGAAAAAAAGCGCTCATAACTTTTTCATCAAATAAACTTGTGATTTTAGATCGTGCAGCAGCCTGCTCAGGCTCAGGCCCAACCCAAGGAGGAGCCGTTGAGCGCCGATTTCGCACGGATGGCGATCGGGACTTGGCGTGGGGTGGCTGAGGAGGAAGCTTTGAAGCATCGTGAGCGTGGTAGGTTTAGGATTTTTGTGATTTGAGAGCGAGAGCGAGAGATAGAGAGTGAGAGAGAGGGCGAGATAGAGAGAAAGAGAGAGAGAGAAACAGACAAAAATCCAATTCGTTAAAGATATCTTGAGTCACTCATCCTCCCCATTTCTAGGTATCTACGAGCCATTCTCACCTCCGTTATGCGATTCGACCTCGGGCTACTCCTCTTCTGGCAGTGAGCGAGGCTCAGCCGGCTCCCCGGAAGCCTACCGTAACCGAGCTGTCGCGGCTCCCAAGTCCCCCATCTCTCGGCTTCATGAACAGGTCCTACGGCCCGGCCCGTTCAGCGACATCTTCAACGAGTACGACCTCCTCGGCGCTGCTGTGCCGAAGGTGAGGACCAGAAATATATACCTAAATCGTTCTCAATTTCTTCGGTGGACTATCCTAAAAGCCATTTTTCAGATCGACGTCGATTGGGTGTATGAAATCTCGCGAAAATAAGCCGAAACTACATTACTGTACACTCTGTACTCGAAAATCCACACCCCTGGCTTCTAGCCAATCACTTTCAAGCAAACATCTACTTTCCTTGTTTTTCCATGCTTGTTATCCCCTCCTATTAATGCATTGTTCCCCTTCCCCCGTTGTTGCGTACCACATGACAGCCCCATTCATTGGCCCGCGTGCAAATCTTTTTTGATTTATTTTGTTTTGAATACGTTTTTGTAAACTAGCACGCCCTAAACCTCGCCCCACCCTAACGTTACCCCCCTTCTAGCCAGTCTGTACAACCTAGTGACCACCAACCCCGCAACCCCCCATATAGTCGACAGTTTGTAGTCTGCTGTACACAAAACATCACAAAAACACCGTTTAGTCTCTGGAAAATGTTTTTAGCTGCCTATATTTCGAATTTGATTGTATACCGCTGTATGTTGTCATGTGCACATATTGATTTTTAGATGCACATTGTGTTATTTTCTTTGGGGGGAAAGATTCTGAGGAGAAAAAGGAGGCGTTTGGAAGAGATCTTTTTATATTTATATCAAACCAAAAATTCCGGGCTTAAATTTTGAAGTTTTTGAAGTTTAGCCTAAGTCAAGCCTAGGTCTAGGAATAACCCCAAGGAGGGGCCTAAGCCCGAGCGTGAGCATAAGCCTTAATAAGAGGTTGAGACTAAACTTGAGCCGCAGCGACGCCTTAGCATAAGTGAAGCCTGAGCATGAGCTTAAGCCTAGGGAAAAGCCTGTGGAGAAGCCTAAGCCCGGACCGGAGCATAAGTCCTAGCAAGAGCCTGAGCCTAAGCTTGAGCATGAGCAAAAGCTAAGGCTTAGACCACGCCGACGCCTAGGCGTGCATGAGCCCGAACTTGAGCGTGGGGCTGAGCCTTAGCCTTAGCAAAGCCTGAGCAGGAGCTTAATCTTAAGCGAAGTTAATGCTCAATCCAACCACCCCATCTCCTCAAAATCCCCACCCCGGTCTTTTCTGTTCCAAAAACCCTTCATTTGACTGATCCCCACATCTCCAATCTCCCGCACACGCAACGATTCCGAAGCTTTCCGAACATCGCGCTCTTCACTCATCAGAATACCCCATCCGTCACCCTTTCCCCTCTCATTTGATCCCACTGCTTGGCACAAAACAAACAAAAACCCACCATAGCTTTCACCGATGTTACCCCCGATTTCACTTTTTCATTTTTTAAAGGGTCCCTGGAAGGTTTCAAACGATTTTTTAAACTTCCCAGTCCCTTTAAACTCTTTTTTTTTAATATTGACTATTTTAAATACTTTGGCAAACCTCCAGACGAACCCAAGCCAAACTTTCATCTCCCCCCCCCCCATGCGCGCCACGTTGTCACGTTGTAGTTTTTAGGATATTTCAATTGCTCCCAATTTGTGGCGTTGTTTCGTCCCTCTTTTTCGATATTTTGTCCGTTATTTGATTTTTGTGGTTTGTTGTTTGCCCCCTAATCTAAAAATGTTTCTTTTGACCTCCTCTCACTTCCCTTCTGCTGCACGATCGCTTGCCAACTCGTCACCGAACACTTTTAGGGAATTTACACGCTTTTCGAATTTTTTATTGTTTTTTTGAGGAGTGAGTTTTTGGGGTTTAGGCTTAGGCTTGAGCTTAGGCTTAAGCTGAAACTTTTACACAGAATTTTAAACCCCTGAAAACCCAAAAACCCATTCCTTACCCATCGCACCGATGCATGCCACGCTGTTCGCTTAGGTCTCGGCACATGACAAACACCCTTTACCCCGCCCCAAATTCCATTTTTCTGTTTTTTCGTTGTTTTTTTGGTGTCACCATCCCTTTAATAGTACCCTGCCCATCCCCCAAAATTTCCAACATCCACCGAAACTACAAAAACCCCCACATCCAGAAATGTGCCTTCATTATCCGCCCTCCACACCACCACCCTTCCCTATCCATTTCAAAACACCATACGTATCATCAAATAAATTCGTTTATCGAGCGATTGATCTGTATTTAAAATTGCGCCGCAAAAACATTAATTACTGTAAGAAATATTTGGCTTAAAGTAACTCGCCCCTGGAAAACGAAGACAAAATCGGGCACAGATACACAGATTCAGTAATTTTACGCTGTCCTTATACAGACCAGATTTTGGCCTTGCTCGGGCCTTCAAAGGTACAGGAATGTGGGTAGCGGGGAAACTAGTGTTTTTGCAGTGATCCTGTACGAGACAAGAAAATAGAAACGATTTTGATAATCTTAGACGCTTTTATATAAGAAAGGTCAAAAATAGCTCTAAAAATCTTTAATAATTTTTACTTTTGTACCAAAATTATGCAATTTATGAAAAATGGCTAAAAAAATTGTTGAACGTTCAAAAAATGGAAACGATATGTATTTCGAGTAGCTTTCGTTTTAAAAAACCTGTATATCAAACAAAACTATTTAGCCATACCCAACCGCTATCCTCTCCCTATACCATCCCATATAAATTGCTCGTAGACCACCCACCCGTCCCTCTATCCGTTTGCCATCCATGGCTAGTGCCGAAGTGGGCCCGAAAAATTTGCATCTCAAATGATTCTAACCGCGCGGGGTGGGCTGGGGAGGCGATTCCGTTGCAACATGTCCTTGGGGGGAGGGGAGGAAATGGGGAAAGACCACCCAGGCGGTTAAAATTGTCAGTTTTTGAAGGGATCCGCACGAAATTTAATGAAAAACATCAAAATTATGCAAATCGAATTATGTTGGTACCAAACTAAATATTTGATGCTTTGTGCGATTTTCGCGCCATGTCTGTAATTTATTTTTCTTAAAACTCAAAGCTATGAGATGTCCTACACTGCTAGGGGGGATTTTACCGGGAGGATGCTAAATTTTTCCAAATAATCCTGTACCGTCCTAAATGAAATATAAATCATTCTCATATTATTTTATGCGGTTTTTAGATTTTAAAAATTCAAAAATAATTTTTAAAACTTTCGGATATTTTTGGCTTTTTCTTCAGACTTATGAAAACGGCAAAAAGGTAAAAGATCTTTAAAAAGTTTGCAGCAATAAATAACTAAGCACTTTGAAGATGCACTATACATATATTATCAAGAAAACAAAAATTAGTTGTTCCCCCGCTATGATTCCAGCTATTAACGCTGAAGTAAGTAGCTAAATTTTTATTTAATTTTGTTCATGGTGGTTATGATTGATGGTTAATCATGGTTTAGTACCATAAATTTAGTTAGGCTTGGGAACGCAACTTGAAAGGATGTTAGATTGAATGTTATGGTTTGATCACTTTCGAACAACCAAAAAAATATCTCGAGGAACATCCTAATCCAAATCCAAATTCCTATAAGATGCCCTCCCCATTGTGCCATCCAAATCCACTCCTTCAAGTGCTTTTTCTCCCCATCCCCCCTTTGCCCTAAATGTTGGGCAATCAGCAGCTCGCCGGGTTGGTTGATTTGAGCCCGAAAAGGAGGTTTGTGGCTGGAAGTGGAGCGCTTCTCCCCCCTTACCCGCAACCAATCCCCCCATTCTTTTTTCTGATCGACTTTCGGTCCGTCATTCAGTCGTCGTTTCTCCCGGCGGCGAGCGGTCGGCCTCATTTGCCCCCCTGTGCCTTCCATTTTTGACCCTTCCTCGAAAAGATCCAAATCTTTCATCTAGCCCATATTGGGGCGTTGTCGAGATGTGCGGGGTGTCGCGCCCCGCAAAAACGGGTCGTTTTCGCTATGTGCTTATAGCTTGGATGTTGCCTGTTGGTTTACGGTGTTTGGGTCGGGATTCAAAATGTAGAAAATATGATGAAGTAGCTCTCTCTCTGCGCTCTCTCATTCTCTCACTCTTCCATGCTGCTGGCTTTTAAATCGAGCGTTCCATTAAAATACGGCTGATTTTCTCATGCTCTCTTGACTTTTCCAGTTCTTTCTGTTTCTCTCTCTCTCTCTCTCTCTCTCTCTCTCTCTCTCTCTCTTTCTCTATCATTCCTCCTCTCGCTCTCTCTCGCTCTCTCCGTCGCGCTCTATCGCTCTCTCTCTCTCTCTCTCTCTCTCTCTCTCTCTTCTCTATCATTCCTCCTCTCGCTCTCTCTCGCTCTCTCCGTCGCGCTCTATCGCTCTCTCTCTCTCTCTCTCTCTCTCTCTCTCTCTCTCTCTCTCTCTCTCTCTCTCTCTCTCTCTCTCCGTCTTACCATCTCTCTCTCTCCCTCTCGCCTTCTCTCTCTGGCTCTCTCCCCGAACTCTAAAGCTAGGTGACAGTAAATACGGTAGTTTTTCTCTTTCTCTCGTTCCACCTCTCTCGCCCCCCAGGATGTTAAAGTAGGCATGACAACAACACCATAATTTCCTTGTTTACTTTGTCTCTCTCACGCTCCATATCTCTCTCTCTCTCTCTCTCTCTCTCTAAATCTTGTCAAAATTAAGGTTTTACTATGGAACGATGGGCAATTCCAAGCGCCTCCAGAGTACAACCTGCCAAAGAGAGCGACTACAATACAGTAGACGACCAAAAGGAATACGAGGTTACCTCATCCTCCAAAAATCGAAATTGTATGGTTTTAGGACGTTGACTACTACTACGGTCGCGGCCAAAGTCACCAGAGCGCAAAAAGCACCCGACAAATGGTAATTTTAATTCAAATTGAAAGCGTGGGAATCTCCACATTTAACCCTGAACCCTTCGGCCGTCCCGACACCTGGGCGGGGTGCCATTTTTTGCGCGAATCCCGAATTCTTCAACTAGCCCTTCTCATGTTACAGTCTCATTGTGTCTGGGGTGTAAATATCTCGTTGAAGAGGGCTAGCAGAAAGATTCCGCCTGGAAGCCTTGCATTCCCCCCGAGGCGCCGCTTGGAACTTGCAACTGTCTTTTGTATCTATTTGGAATTAGCTGTATTTGGAACCAATTGCTATGTGATGCCCCTTTAATGGGGTTAGAAGATGGCGATCAGCAACCCCGGCCCCCTCCCCATCAAGGCCGGCTGTCAATGCTTAATTTCCCGGAAAGTTGATCGTATCCAAAACCGAATATATTTTAGATAAATCACGTATATAACTAACTTATAAATTTGATGTTTTACTAAGAGATGATTTTAGGTGAATTCCCCAAGTACACCATGCCCTCCCGCTCCACCATTAATGCTTGGCACTTTGCCAAGAGGTGTCCCAGCCACACATTTAGCAATACATACAGCTAAATCAAAAAAGGTAAGTGATACCTTTAATGACATTTTTGTTAATGCGAATTGCTCAATAAAATGATTTTATGCTTTTGCGAGAAAGAGTTTTGTATATCGACTAACAAGTTATTTAAATGTACATTTTTTACATTTTCTAGACCAATATTTTGGTCCTAACGGATTATTTAATAACAAAGTTTATACAATTTTAGAGCAATAGTTGTGGTCGTTGGCGAGTAATGTGTGGAATCCTGGCGGTTTCCGCTATATTACTACTACTCCTCATCACAATCATCACTTTCCTCATCCTTGGCATCCGTTCCCAGGATTTTAGCGGAACCAAAAATGAACGGAGGACGGAATTTGAGGTGAATTGATTTTTACAATTTACTTAATTCATTTTTAATTCAGCTCCACCCCACCAAAATTCAAAAACGCCGCGAACCCGACGCCGACATTTCCGGGAACCACCTTTTGACGCTGTTGCTGACGAAGCGACATGTTTGCCTTTTTGAGGCATCAACTGATGACGTAGAATCGAGCGTGTAAGTAAAAACAATAAGAAAAATTAGGGACTACGGTGTTTAGGGCAAGCTATACCACCGAACACATCGAGACTGCCCAATTGTTATATTACGGCAATCTTTCGCACGCTGGGGTACCGGTGCATCCGCTTCAATTTCAGAGGTTGGTTTGAAATAGTTTTCACTGACTTCCTAAAAGTATGTAAAAAGATACAGCTAATCGATTACGCCATATTAAATTTAGGGTGGCTCGTGGCCTGGGGATCGACGAGGATTGCCATGTGATCATCTACGATAGAAGCTATACAATTTGGGCGACATATGCGATGTGGATTTTTAAGGTTTAAATTTACTGATAGGTATTTTTGATCATGAATTTGAGCTCTATGGCCATCAACGGGTCTCGATTCTGACTGGTGGATTTGAGGGCTGGAAATCGTTGCAGGCCCAGTCCGCTCAATATCGGTGAGTTCTTTTACTCTAAATGATCTTGGTAATCGTTATTATAGCCCTGACCTTTTGAAAGATATTTTAAATAATTTGAGATATTTATAAAATGGTGCTTTTTGACGGGGAAAATTGATACTATAACCTTTCCACCCTCTTTAAGGATGTTTAAATTCAAAACCATTTTAGCACCGAAGCCGGCCCACCATCACCAACTCCAAAAATTGGCGACATCATCGGCTCTTGGAATAGTTCTGTATTAATCACCTACGATGATGTGTTGGCAAATATGGAAAGCGAGAAATACGAGCTGGTGGACGCGCAGACGAGCGATGTAAACAATATACTTTTGTCCTTATACCGTAATTTAGGAGTACACCGGAAAGGCGAGCGGGGCTCTTTTTGGCCATATTCGAGGAGCCATCTCAATGCCAATAGAAACAATTTTTGACTGGAATCAGAGCAGGTAGGAAATGAAATGAAGATGTTGGATATACTTGAATTTTAGGTGGTTATCGTCGCAGAGTTTGGTGGATATATTTCGGATTAATGGACTGAGCAAGCATAAGCCGATCGTAGGTTTTATTGAAATACGCGCATCAATAGTCCATATTTTTCGATTCGTTCTTATTATATAGCTATTTATTTAAAAAAATCACAAACACTTTAGATCGTCTATTGCTCAACATCCGTCCGGGCCTCAATGGTATGGTGGGCGCTGAGCAAGGAAGGATTTGACGCTCGGCTCTATTTTGGTGGATGGCCTGAGTGGCTGGTTAGAGCACCTGATCACCTGAAAGTACTTCCAAAATAATTCATTTTTATGTTGTATTACGCAAATCATTAAACGGGTCAATAAATCATGAAATGTGCAAGCCGCTACGATTCCAAGTTACAACAAATTACGCAAAATTCTACAAAGGAACGGAATAGTTCGGACAGTTTTTCGCGTTGAAGTATACCTCGAAAATGACCGTTTTTTGTATTAAGTTAAAGTAGCTATATAACGAGATAACCGGCTAATTAAATGCAAAAAAAATATGTTTTTGAGGAGAAGAATCTTTTTCCTTAGGTTTATAGTTTCTGTCTCATATAATTACCCCGGGATCTGTAATTTAAATCTGTAATTTAAAGAAATTCTAAACCCCCAAATTCTACCCTCAATATTTACTAGATCTCGACAGCTACGTATTGCTCCAAATGACGTATCTTGCGTTATATTTCGTTCACCAACTACTGCCCCGGATACCTGGCAACACCTATTCATCTCCAAAGTCGATTTTTAACCTTCATACCCCCTCCAAACAAAACGGAATCAAAGCGCAGCCCATCAAAAAATTTGTTCTATTTTCCGAGCGGCTCTCTAAAGTAAGTTGGCAAGTAAGTTGGCGCTGTGGTAGGGGTGGGCAGAATCTCCAAAATGATCTGGCACTCGATTTCGAGATGATGATGGAATGCTGGTCGTCAAAATGTCAAGAGTTCTCCCACCTGAATGGGTACCTCTACCTGGCCGTGTTGTCTGTTTTCTTGGCCGCTCCTGTTTATAGGCTTTTTGGGGAGGTTACGCTAGGGCCAACGGACGGCAAAATAAACAGAGAAATTAGGGGCATGGCCCGGGCCTTACCACGGGGGGTCACTGTATAAAAGGGAGATGTGTTGGGGGGTAAAATAGCGGAGTTGCCTCTTGGAATCTCTCTCTTAAAAACATGTACGCTGTCTATATTCTGCCGGGTCTTCTGGCCGTCGCCTCGGCTTATGTGACGACATCATCGATGTCGAATTTGCAGAATGGAAATTGTAGAATACAGGTGGGTATTTAAGGTAAAACCCTCCATTAAGCGTGTATTTTAGAATGGTTACCTGTACGATGGATCCACAACTCGCCAGCTGACCTCCTCGGAGACGATGCAAGTACAACAATACCAGGTAAGCTTCTAAAATTATAAGAGAATTTAGAAACTAGAAATATACCATAGCGGACTAGAAAGCGATCTCCCGGAAGTAGATGATCAACTAAAAAAATCCCCATTTCCAGAGCGGCATGGGCATGAGCAACACCGGCTACGGCTCGTCCTACAACTCGGGCTACGGTAACACCGGCTACAACGCCTACGGATCCAGCTACCCCTCGTCCAGCACAGTAAGATCCTGCCCTCAAGGTTCCCCTAACCCAAATTTTAGTCGAGCTACGGATACGGTAACACTGGATACGGTAACACCGGATACAACACTGGCTACGGCAGCAACGGCTACAACACCGGATACGGCAGCAATGGATACGGCAGCAGCTCGTATGGAACTGGCTACGGTACCGGAAGCGGATATGGCAGCAACTCGTACGGTACCGGATACAACTCTGGGTACGGTTCCGGCACTGGGTACAACAGCGGAATGGGAACTTCTTACACTGGATCCACTGCGGTGAGTGTTTAAGTGCTTTTAATTAAGTTTTGCTAAGCTATATTTAATTAAATCTATATAAATTAATCTTAATATTTTAGAACGGCTACAACACGATGTACGGCAGCAGCTCGATGGCCAACATGCCGTGCCTGTGCACGTACGCCACCTGCGCCACTCGCTCTTGAGCGGAAATTTCGCGATCTTGCGAATTCACAAAAAACACTTGTATACAATGCATTAATAAAGGAATTTATATAGAATATTCCATCCGCTCAAGAACAAAATACTGTTTAGTCGCAAGTTTTCTGCACTTAGTATACGGTAGCTTAAAAATTCCCTAGACAAAAAAAATGATAGTTTTATATTTATTTATTTATTTTTCTTCACAATTTCACAACCCTACTGTAGAATTGTGTTTTCCCAAATGTTTGCCGGTCAACCCATCATCATCTTCCCCTCGAGACGCCGTGCAAACAGTCGTGTTTGGCTGCCCGAATTGTTTGTCGATTTCGTTCAAACGGTCAACCGCCTAAACAGAATGCACACTACGCACTATGGTGTACCTGGCGGAGGATTATTTCGACGAGATGCTTCGCGTGGGCTGCCTCAGCTCCATGGTCGGCATTTGGAGCTGTTTGGAGGGGGTTTTCAAGCTAAAAATTTGCGCGTTTTGCCAAAAAACGATAGTTATACCTGTTCTAACGCTTTCACATCCAGTTCTATCGTTTTTGGAGTTGTAAAATTCTAAAATTTAGTTACAATAGTTAATTTAAATCGGTCCAAAATTGGACTTCATCTAACAATGTTAGCAGTTTAAAAAAATTCTGCCATTTTACAATTTTGCAGCCGACAATGTGTCCTTAACTTAATTACCATTTAAAATTTGATAAAATTGGAAAATTACTTACTATTAAATTTGCTATTTAAACTTAAACAAACTGACTATGTAAAAAAATAAACTTTAAAACTCACAACGTCTTCCTTCGACGATAACGACCTCAAATCCTCCTTTCTAGGCAAATCCGAAATATATATAGCCTCGCTACTCTCGCTTGGAGCCACCTGAGAAAATCCCAATTACCCGCTGTTTTGAGCCCCCGCCATACCTTTGACACCCGACTCAACAAAAACTTTGTAGTATTGAGGGCAAACTTCGAAGCATTGTGTCCAATTTCGAAAAGTGTCTGTTGACGCCTCTCGATCACGTCCCAGGCAGCCTGAAAATATCGCTGGATACCGTTATTGATTTTCACAAACGTGGAGCCCTCGAAAATATAGGTCTTGGCCTTCATCTTTATCGAGAATTAGCCTTTCACCGGTGACGGCACGGACCTGGAAAAAGGATTGTTACGGCTACGGTTTAATTTACCCCCCCAGCCGGAGACCCAAAAAGTTTGCGATATTGTCATTTTTTTGGGCTTTTCTTGACGCGATTCGATAAAGTATCAAAAATATCTATTTACGGAGGTGCGAAATTTTGTGATATAGTTACAGCCAAGACATGAGTAACTTATAGAAAATGGGATAAGATGCGGTTTTCTATATTTTCGTTTTTTTTTCGAGATATAAAGATGTCATTCGATAGAGCATCGAAAAATATATGAAAAATTATAATTTCAAACGTAAATAATGTATAATTAAATAGTTAGAGCAAAAACAAGATCCTGGACCTTCCGGCTGGGGGGAGTGGTAAAGTACACTCACTCTCACCACTGTTACTATCAATATAACTAAACCCACATCTCCCACTTTTCGTGAATCCCTCCTTTTCTTGCCAAATAATAAAAACAATTCGTCTTTCAAGCATGAATGGCAGAAAATGGCGAGTAACATTTGGCAAAATACCTCAAAATCAGTTTCTAACAACATTCTAACATTGTAAGAGCCTGGAAAACCTCTATTACCTGCACCAAATTGTAATACCAATATATCATGGCCAACAAGGGGACATAAATGTCCGGGGCTAATTCATAGGTTGTGATATAGATTCCGAGGGAGAAGAGGGTTGTGGATACTTTGTAGGGGGCCAAGTACATTAACATCCGGGCCGCTTTGAGGTTACGGCCTGTTTGGAACCTAAACTGGTAAATTTAGAGCACCATTAGTTTAATAAATAGCATAAAACAAGGAAATAAACAAATAAGCCAAATTTGTGCCTAAAAACGTGTTACGATACCTTTCCAAAACGGTGGCGTTTCGCTGTGCCTGAACCTTTCGATACGCTCGACCAGCTACGATCGGAAGAATGGAAAAGACCTTAAAACTAATACTTCAGATAAGTTTACACCACCTACCGTCCCTGTCATACAAAAACACACTCCAAGTGATGCATATGTGAACATTTTTGGTATCCAAGGAACGCAAAATAACACCAACCCAAGGCTGATGCAAAACGCGATCTAGAACCAGGGGTCCATAAATTTTACAAACCAATGGCTTACGGTAGCGGATAGTAAATAGTAGCCAAGCGTCGGCACAGGACTCCACATTTCCTCATAATGCTCTACCATAAGCATAGCTGTCACCCGTTCGACGGCCATTGCTAACATTACTACGGAGGCGAGCATGAGGCCTGGAAGATCTTCCAAATCGAAACTTATTAAAACCTATAGTTACTACGTAACTTTGGGATACTTACAGCAGTCCGAACAAAAATTATAATAATTGAGACGTGCGGGCGTCATTTGATGGGTCCATTCTACTAAAAAGGGTTTTTTAGATTCAGATAGCTACTTCGGTGAAGCCCAAGCCCAAGCCTGAGCCTAAGCTTACCCCAAGCTTTTAAAGTTTAATTAAACAAAACACCCTACATCCATGTCTCAATATTCGCATTGCAATTGCCACGCAATGAATTGACGGCTGAAAAAGCAGCAGCAATCGTAGATTAGGATGGCAGAACTAAAAACTTCTATCTTATTTTACGTTAATATACTGGCATACCTGTTTCCTTAATAATATTTTTATATATAAAACGGCACTTAGCTGAATAAACACGATTAAGATGCATTCGACAATCTAAAATGGCTGAATTGAATCATCTTCCATCTTACATGCCCGGCCAGTACTACATCCGGATATAAATATATAGTTGGCACCCGTTCATCCCTTGTCATCGATTGCAAATATCGAAGCACAAAATATAAACCTAAAATGCTTTGCAGTCTCTGGCCTTTGTGTGGTGCGGTCGCGGAAAAACTAATTTTTCGGGCCCCCCGATTGAATCCCCGAGATAATGGGAAAAAGGCCAAAAGCGGAATTGTAATTTGGGCTCTGTACCAGAAATCTTGATTGGGGGTTGTTTGTGTTGATCATTAGTTCAAAAGCCTGAAGAAAATTTTTAGTTACTCTAATACTGTCGATATTTAGTCTCAAAAGAAAAAATCAAAGTTCCGCTCGGATGGCCTAAGGGAAGGTGGGTTGCCTGCAAAACAACAATTAATTCCGGGATGCGCGTGGCGGTCTGGTGCGTAGGCGCCAGCCAAAAATAGAAATTTTTCTATATATTCTTCTATATCAAATATTTTAAATAATCAGTCTAACAAAAATTGAGAAAAAGCCTGAAAAGGCCAAGTTGAAGCTAAAAAATGACAATTTTCCTTTCCCGGAAATCGACAATTTGTACAATTTCGGAAAAACAGATGGTAAAAGTGCATCAATGATGTACAAAATGGGGGTAATTTCGGAGTAAGAAAGCCGCGAATGTAGTGGCAATGGGCCGTTTCCCATTCTCAGCATAGCCATTTGGGAAGGTGCCCACTAATTGCGTAGAGCGGAGCCCGCGGCGAGGAAAAGGGCTGTGAATTTTTTTGGTTGGGTGAGATCATGAAAGATGAAGGGTTAGAAATGAACAAAATGGATCAAAGACTAGGCCTAAGCCAGCAGAGATTTTATATACATCCGGCATTTTGCCACCTTACATCCAATTGGTCCCAAAATTGGCCCAGAGATGTATCAGACTCTCATAAGGATAATCCTGATTTACAGCCCCGTAGCTAAAAAACTTTTCGACTTATAACGAAAATACCATTCTCACCAGTTTTTCGGCTATCTCAAGAGATCATCATAAAAAATAAAAAATAAAGTTTATTTTTGCTGAAACTAATGGTTGTTTTTATCTAGGGTCTGATAGACTTCCGGTACGATCGTGGGAAAGGGCTTTTTGCACACCCTGCGGCAGCAGCAGCGGCAACAACAGTTCATGTATTGTTCTTCAACATTTCAACCTTCGCAATCTGGTTAATTTTTGTCTATATGTATTTTGCTTTAGTCCCCATTTTTAGAGACCCTTCAATATTTCTTTCCCCCGAACCGATGGGCGGTGATCTTTTCTTCCCTTTTTCTCGTTACAGCTGGCCGGAAAAAGTGACCAGGGAGGGGTGAAGGTTTTTCAGTGAAAAGGAGATCCACACCAGTCGATCGGGGACGACCTTGGGACCACACACATGATAGCCAATGAAAAAGGCCGGGTATGACGATTCTTTGTTTCGGTTATTAGTGCGTAAACCGGTGAAGAAATCCGATAGACAAAGCTAGTCCATGAGCTTTTATGCATTTCTCAACGCTACGAAAATTATCGGCATTTCAAATGATGATATAAGCCCGCATTTCGGTAAATATGCACAAACTGGTGCGTTTTGCATCGAGATATGCAAATTATCTTTCTAAGTCCATTCCTTATTCAAATCCGCACGTCCACAAATCCGTCCACTCCGTTGGTTGGAGGACACTTGTCAGTTAGGCAATAGGAACGGTAGTTGGTATGGGGTATCCGGTGACCCATGCCTCTCTCTCTCTCTCCCCATTGTTGACCTCCCCTTTATGAGGCCCAGATTTGTCGTTCGAGTCCCAAATATGCGGATTAAGGTTCGAGGGGGTGTATGACCCAGGTATGCATGGGGCCTAAGGGGGAGCAAGAAAACACAGTTCGGGTATAGCTATCATTTTTGTAGTTTTCACGGTTACGGTTACGAAACTGGTCTTTTTGGAAATGTTGGAACGCCTTTCCACGACCCAAAAAGTGGCCATTTTCGGGCCAGTTTCTGACGATTTTGAGGACAAAACCTGATTAAAACTGCTAATTTAATTATAATTTTCGTAAACGAAAAATTCTCCAAATAAAGAACATTCTCTATTTTTCGAAATCCGTCGAATCATAAAAACCCCAGCGAAATCGGAAAAATTTGCCTTAATTTAGCTATAACTTTTTTGATTTTACATTATTTTGCTTAAAATTTGACTGTATATAGTTTTTACAGGTTTCCAACGCTGGTAAAAATTTGGAGCGGATCAGTTAAAATACGGCCGATTGCCGAGGATTTTTTGGAGCATCCTGTAGAAGACCCGTAACCAACAAAATCCAGAGCCTTACCTTCCACACCCCTTTAATCAAATCTTCCCCACCCACTTTCCACACTCCTCATAATGCCATTCATCCCGATCACCATTTTTATTCTACTCGCCCGCGGTGGAAGGCCGCCCATGGTGGGAGGGGGAGACGTGTGAAAGGTGGTCGTAAATGTTTGCTGCCCCAGGTCGATGGCGATCTCTATCGGGGAAAGAGAGCGACAGAGCAAGAGAGAGAGAGAGAGAGAGAGAGAGAGAGAGAGAGAGAGCGAGAGGGAGAGAGAAAATGGAGAATGGATAGATCGGTGCGCTCTAAAAGGGGGGAACCCCTTCGCAGCCATGGCTAGACATGTTGCATTGTCTGTCTGGTCTGGGGCAACCCTGGCTGGGAGGTGGTGCACCCTGGGTTACGGTATGTCTCCATCGGTAGTGGGTGGATTTGAATACCGTGGTAACTCTTTAAGATGGTTTTGTGGTGTGAGGAAAGCGCCGAAGCTTAAAGATTTGTACAAATCCTGTATGATACTATAACAAAATATAAACCATTTCGATAGGATTTTACACAGTTTTTAGATAAAGTTCATAAAAAAGTATAAAACTTATCGAAAATTGAGGACTTTTTGGTGAAAAATGTATGAACAATACGCAAAAATTTAAAATCTTTGAAACGCGGCACCCAATTTGCATATATTTTCCTTTCCTGTAAGTGAATCAGTTATTTTTTTCTTTCACTGCAATTTTAGGCCCCTAATAACACTCGCTCATTTATTTCCTACCTTTCACGGTAACCTCAACAGCGAAGGTCACTAGGTGCATCACCCCCTGAAGGCATCCACACACCCCCCTCGGGTAGCCATGCTGATTTATGATTGATATGATTTACGGGGGAAGGCCGATAAATTATCCCATCCCTCCCTACACACACCCATGCCCACAAAAATCACGACGTTATCAGCATCCAAGTGCGGTCGGCTTTATTGGCTCAAGCTGCTTGCATTGCTTTGATGGGGCCAGGTCAAGCTCGGGTTGATACTAGGGGAGATTCAAAGCACAAGAAGGGTATTGACAGGCTGCCAATACGGTGGGGTATCAAATTTTGGCTTTTAGGGCTTGGTGTTGAAGAGGAGGTTTTGAGAACAAGGGCTTTGTCTAGCCATCAATCGACGTCTCGGCTTGAAAGGGCCCGAACCGGTCAGGGTAGACCGTAAATTGGGGCACCGCGTGGCCTACTGGCTGGGCCTGGTGGGGGTGAACGCGGCTGAACCTAAAAAAACTGAATTATAGTTTAAATAAATGTGTTTCATGATCTTAAAAAGTCTTGGCGGTCTAGGTAGAAGCGGATACGGCGGTTCCTAAAAATCTTTGCCTCCAACATTTTTTTAAAATCTTAAAGTAATGCTTCTATGGCTTCTCAAAATTCAAAAATATGGTAGTTACCAAAAGGAAAATTTACAACGAAAAAAACAAGATTTTTGGCACCTTGAACAACCGCTAAAGTACACTTCGATGCGTTTTTTGGAATTTTTGTAGGAGGTAATTGTTCCACTAAAAGACGATCTAGTAAAACCTAAAAAAAATCATAATTTAGACCCCCAGATATTTTGCTACTTCCAGTACTTTTAACGAATCCTGGTAATACCACTAAAAAGTTGTAGACCCCTAGCAAACGATTCCACTCGGCATCCTGCCAGACCTCCCTGAAAAAAACCCTTCCCCCTCTACACGATTCTCCCCCGAAGAAACGATCGTTGACGAGAAAAAGTTTCACTTTTTCTGCCCGGCCGACGATCCTCCGGCCAGCTGGGGCGCCCCAACACATCTCGCGAGCCCCGGCTTGCACTTTCTGGGAGTCGCGCCAGGAGGTGGCCACCTGAAAAACGGCCCATCCGCTGAAGGTCGCCCGTTCCGACGGCCGGGCTGTGGGACCGTGTTTTCGGCAAAAAGCGGCAGCGATCTTTGTGATTCAACAAGAACAGCTAGAAGTGTGAGAAACTTTGGTTTTCTTTAAAGGTATCCTTACCACGAGGAAGGATGGACACTTCAGGAAAAAATTGCATAAAGCTCCACTTGCATATGGAACATAATAGATCCTTTTTGGGTACTGGACTGCTAGCGGGGGGGGGGGCTACTTTTTGCTTTTCCGCTTGTACCTGTTAATGTAAATAACGAATATTTATAATGTCTTTCCTAATTTTTGAGCGCTAGAAAGTTACAAAAAATATTT